ACAAAATCTCTGTTAAATCGACCTTTTTAAAGATTTGGGATTTATGCAGGTGAAAACGGGCACATCTTTTTGCCTTTGTACGTTATTGAAATTTCAATGCTCAACGAATATACATTTATAGAAATTATTGAGACTGACACAGGACACTTTGAACTGAAGTTTCTCTTACATTTGTTTCAATTTGCAACCATGCATGATTCTGTTAGTTAACCACTAGGTTTACAATTGAAGAACACAGGGGAAAAACGACCATAGTCACAAACTGAAAATTGTGAGGGTATCAATTTTGAATGCTTGTTGATTCATAACTGTATTTCTGTTCAACTATTGATTTTTGTTTTTAGATTTCCCATTCAACAAATGTAACAATAATTTTTAAAAAATAAACCACCAGTCAAACAAATATGAAGTCCACAAGCTTTTAAAATTGGCACCCTTACAATTTCCAGTTTTTGACTACGGTCATTTTCCCCCTGTGCTCTTCAATTCAAAAGTCCCCCAAAGGCAGTCAGAAGAAGAGCAAGATTGGGGTCACAAAATAACGTCCTGTGGGCCACAAGTTTCAGATCTGTTCTAGACACTATTATATCCTTTCTGGTGGAACCTTTTCGACTATGTTCCACCACACCCCTAGGTACACACTGTGTCACTTTTGACTTTGAGCAAATCAAACGGCAGGCTTCGTAATTACGTCTCAGAAATCAACAGATCTTCTGAAACTACACCAAAGCCTTTATCAACACAGCCAACTAAAACAGTAAAATTGCCACCATTTTAAACCAGGAATAAGTTATCATCACAACTAGGAATACTAGGATCACCACAGCCAATGGGCGGACAGCACAACAAAAGACAACACCTCACCCCACCAGAATGCTCACAAAGCTCTCTGTTGGCAATAACGAAATGAGGAAAACGGTATAAATAAAAAGTAAAAGCAGACAAGAAAAAAGTCCCTATCACCTACTGTTTCTTCACAGCCAAAAATAAAGAAGACATTAAAACCCAACCCTGGAACAAGTTATCATAAATAAAATCACCACAGCCAAAGGAGGACACAGACAAGCATTCAGCCAAGGAAGTGCGCTCACAAAATTTCTCTGACAACCACCAGGCAAACAAATTTGAAATCTCAACAGCAACTTAGTAAAAACATAGAAGTTGTTCCCCTTTTCTCCTCCCTTTTGTGTAAACCATCCAATCATCCACACAACACTGTTCTACCTACAGTGGTAAAAACATCCTCAACACCGGACTGCTGTATGGATGGGGTGGGGGGGGGGGGGGGGGTTTGCATTCTTCACTTTCGTACATCAGTCAAATTTTATTGTAAATTCTTGATAATTTTCTGTACCGTGCAGTCCTGAAAAACTACAAATGATGGCTTTTGTTCACATACAAGCGACTTTTACAAGAGCAGCAAGTTAATGTTCAACCTCCATCAACAGATACTTTTGAACAGCATTCCAGCATAACAAGCCATTTGAATTCGTCCTATCACACTTTCAAAATTACATGAAGCCAATAGCTCTCTGCTTATAATAAATACTAGAACAATCTAGAAGTTGATAGAAAGCTTTATTCTGTGACTATTTCCTAGAGTTTACTCACTAACCATCAACAGAAATTAAAAGGCATGAAGATGTATCAAACAGTACAGGGAAATCATAATAATCAGCAACAATGTTTTGAAGTCCACATTTCGGTGGCAGTGCTCTGAATACTTATAATATCTTGGGTAACAACCTAGACCCTATTGGACGGCAGACAGAAACATGGTCAGAAAAAAATAGTCACAGTGTGTTTTACGAACAGTTTCCTACAAATCAAATGGCAAACTGAAGTGATCAGCCTGGTCACACGAATGGAAAATGATGACATTGTAAGTTTATGATGTTGTTGTTTTTTGTTGAAATCGTTCCAGTAGCAGACTGTTAGTTTTTAACTCCAAACTTCTCTTGTACATCTTGAGAATTAACAAAAACAAAACATGCTTGAGCTTTGAGGAACTTATACTTTTCTATTGAAAGATGGGAGGACAGGCATAAGTTTCCACTGTTTTTATTGATAAGATCAGTCTCCTGTAAATGTGTAATTTGAACGCACTAACTGTGAGCTAATCAGCAATCAGGTGGTACCCACATAAGAAATTATCTTAGATCAAATAAAGAAAAAGTGATCAACCTTCCACAGCAGCAATGATGAGCTAGTTGACAGATTTATACCAGATCATAGCCTTAACACAACACCTTGTGCTGGTTACAGGAGTTTTGCCAAACTAACGCCCTTGGGCATGTCTTAACCGTATATATTAGTTGCGGTCACCGGCCGCAATAATGCGATGGTGAAAATTAATCGCTCCAGTCACTTGACGCAGTTCTGCGACAGGCCCAAGAAGTCCGTTGAAGTCACTATTCTGGCTGGGTGACCTATGGGGTATTTTGCACAGCTGGCAGTGACTGTAAAGCATTAAGTGAATAGACAGGGCAAGGCCTCACCAGAGTTCTTGTGCCCTATCCATTTATGGAAAGGTTTGAAGATAGAAACATAGCTCTTATGCCACACTGTGAGTATGTCGACATTGCTATTCTCTATCATAGATTTGCGTAACATCTCCCGTTAGTTGAACTTTAAGGTGCTGATCCAGACAAGAGCATGAAACAAGGTGTTGGGGGTCAGTTGACTGGACATTGTTTTACTCCTAGGCGAAAACCTTTATTGCCACATCTAATATAAGGTGACCTAGGCAGCCATGGCATTTACCTCTGTGAAAGATGACGAAGCTGAGACAGATCACTAACCAAATACCAAAAAGTAAGACAGCTGATAATATTGTTCCAGGGAGCGGCCCTTGCATCGCAGGAGGCATCAGCAGTGTTCAGGGACAGACCAGATGCCATGTTTTACGTCAAACTGCAGCGCTCAGCCAGACCCAACTTACAGTTCTGAAACCGTGTCTTGTGTCAATTTGACCACAGAACTGATTATAATGTCACATTATGTGTAGGTCGACACAGATACTCAAGACTCCAAGCCTTTCTGCCATGTCTTTTGTCAGTCAGTCAAGTGAGGGAAGCGATGCTAGGCAATAGCAATAGTCCCTTGGCTGTCCATCCCCTAGCATTCAGAAGTCAGGCATCGAGATATTTGAAAGACCTATGCAAGGCCAAAGCCCTGGTTCCCTTCAGTGATTGCAATCAGCAGCATCTTGTGGAATGTGTCCATGCTGTCATAGTCCGGCAGACACAGTTGGTTGAAACTGGTGAGAGAGAAAAATGATTTTTAGTTTTAAGTCAAGACAAAAATTATTTTAAGTTTTAAGGCAAGACAAACATAACGACGCTGAGCGTAAGAACTATACCGACATCTGACAGTTTCGAGAAAAACAAATTTGAAATTTTGATGATTTAGAAATCTCTATTACAAAGTCAAAAAAAGAAATGTTAGTATCTCTATATGGAATCAAGCTACGGCTTAGATATCAACAGAGGTAAAAGAGTGGCTTAAAATCTCACTACCCATACTAAATTATTCCATTTCAACAAAAAGTGGATACAGTCACTTCTTGCGCTCAGCCATCAATTGCCAATGATACATCAAGGATCACATGATGAGTACAAAACAAGGACGTTTGATAAAACCTTCACAGCTCATTTGGATTGAGTGATAGATGAACGTAAACAAATAATGGATACAGTGTACCTGTAAGCTTCTCCAAGCACTTTCTCCCTTCCTCTCACTACATACAAAATACAAATGCACACACACACACACACACACACACACACACACACACAAGTACATATTTGTATTGTATACCATTCAAACACAGAGACACAAATTCTAAAAGTCTGGAAAGAAGTTGACCTCTACTTATCCAGATTTGAAACTCAAACCGTGCGAGCACGCACATGCACACGCACACACCTATCTTCTATCTCTACCAGACTCCCAACTCACCAAGTATGAGAGGAGGGAAGATTGTTGTAAGTGGGAGCAGAGGACAGTTGTATCTTTGGGTTGAGCTCCGAGAATCCCCCAGGAGGCAGCTGGGAACAGCCTGTGATGAACTGAAGAAGCCGGGCCATCTGCTCCTCCGTGAAACTGGCGATGATGGTCCAGAACCAGCCTCGTACCTGAGGGAAACAAGACAATCAACTCCGGGTTTGTCTCTTAAAAACTATCAATGATATAATCATCATTGTCTCAACAAAAATGAATAAGTAAGTCTGCTGTTTTGAGGCACAATTAGGGATGAGGTAAACACTCAGGGCCTAGATATGCCAAGATTGGAGAATGTAGCCCGCGACCTTTTTTCCTGAGAACAGAATGGATTCAAGCTATAGTACCAACGCCTATACGATCGCTCACATGGATTTTCTGCCCTGGCCATGCAGGTGTTAGGGGAAATGAAAAAGCCGACAGATTAGCTGGTGAGGCCACCTTAGTTGACAATACGGTTCAACCAGATAGGGTCGAGATCCTGAAATGTCTCTCTCGCCAGCTGATTGAGGAGGAAGATAGGGAGGCTGAGGCCAGTACTGCCGTGGAGAGGATGATGCTTTTGGGAATAAAAAAAGGAAGCAGAAAATCTGGCATCCTTGCAGGAAAGAACAGAAAAACGTTCAACCAGATGTGCACTGGCACAATCAGTAGAATGACCCTCGGCAACATTTTGGAGAGAGCAACGGAGCATCAATGGACATGTCCGGAGTGCAGGGATGTTGCTTCCTGAAACAATAACAATAACAGCCTGCGACCGGCAAGAGTGGCGTCGACTGCTCTCCGCCTTACATACCTGACAGTATAGGGAGAGAGTAAGTAAATCAGTAAGTAAGTCAGCTATTGCTTCACAGGGTGAGTGAAGGTAATTAAAGTAACTTATTTTCCAAGCAATAGAGACAATAAGCCGTCTGTGTTGTGACGTATGAGTATATCCCACTGCAGGAATGCCAAGGATGCAACACGTACATTAGTTTATCTATGACTGTCACCTCGTATAAGGTGCTTTCTCATTGCTCCTTACATTCCTTCTTTTGTTTTTTTTTCCCACGAGAGGATTTTGTTTAAAAAATAAGGCATTTATAAAGCACTGAATCAAACAGCCCCCTTTAATTAAAATTTATCTACACAAACATGAAACAATGACTCATACAGTCCTCTTTTATTAAAATCTATCTACACTAAAAATGAAACGATGTTTACAAAAGGGGAATAGACATTCTGTGTTAAAGATGAATACCTTACACAGTCTAAAGATCCAAGCAATATTGCCCTAAAACTGCCCCGTGTCCTTTCATTCAGCTACCTGTGCCACAGGGAAACTGACCTTGTTAAAGGAAGGCGACGCCCCCACCACGTTGTGATGGAGCTTGAAGTCTGCTATGCTGTAGGTGCCGGTTCCACACATCAACAGCTGAAACACACACAGAGTTCTCTTAATCCTACTGGGGGGATAGAGGTTGGTTTAACGATTTTAAATCTTTTACATCCTCTATCGACACAATTTAGATAAGTTAAGAGGAGGCACACTGTTTTGACCAGCCAATCAAGGCCAACTTGAGCTGTCTAGATTAGAAAGCGATGTGAAATCATCAATGCCATTTACAACAACACAAATTAGTAAGAAGCATAAACGTAAGACAAATGGAAACTACTTCTTGCTGACATAGTTGCCAGGGATGGCTTTTCAGCCTGGAGTAAAAATGTTCAACTCTCATGCAGATTGGTCAGTTGATAATTTGGGCTTGCCCTCCGATTTTTCTTACTCTATTTTTAAGTCTTACTGGATGATGAAGAAGAACTTGGGAGGCTGAACTTGCAGGCTTAAATGTGAGAAAGACACCTTGAAAAAGTTAAAAGTTGAAGATGGTACAGATCTGTCAAAGTCAGCTTCTTGACAAAAATTCAAAATTTTTCCTAAAGCAAAAAAAAAAAAGACAAAATAAATAGTACACATAACTCAAACACGTCGGGATCGGCAGATGTGTTCAACACATCCATAATTCCGGTTACCCGATATAACGAAATATTAGAAAGATATCAGACAGAGAAGGGCAAATTGTACAGGCTATCCGTGATTTCGAGTTCTCCATGTTTGTGTTATTTATGCCCCACTGTACACCAACCATACAAAATATGTCAGCCCCATACCTCCAATTCGTTCTCATCGAAGATGCTGAGTAGATTCTCTGGTATCAACTCTGAGCTGAGACCTCGGAGAAAACCCTCCACTTCCTCTTTGACTGGCGCAACCAGTCTGTACTGGGCCAAAGCATCTAAGTAGCGAAGCTTGTTGGCATTGGTGACTGGCACTTTGGAGCCATTGGGGATGAGATCAATAACCTGGGAAAGAAATAAAGACATAAGTTGAAGTAAACAATAACAGAAGAAAATAATACAGAAGGAAATAATAACATCTACCCTTCCCCTTGCCTTCAATGTAAGACTGTCACCCAGGCATGTTTTATTGAATGAAGCACATATTGTAAGTGTTGAATTTCAAACCACACAAAAATCATACATTGCAAATTAAAAAATTTTGTCCTGGGCAAATCTCCCTATGTTGGATAGTAATATGTTTACAAACGAAAAGCCATAATGATGATGTAAAACATATAAAGAATGTGCAGTGCATTACATTTCCCTGACAGCTTCCCCCACCAACCACCACACACTAATGCTGGGCAGTACCGGCGAAACCCAGTGTCGGTACCTTGTGCCAAAAACCGCCAGTACTGGTACTGGGAGTGACACCAGGAGGTGACGTCACAGACCATCGTGTCTCGCATTTAATGCCACGATCAGCGCCGCCCGCATCCCCCCTCCCCTCACCCCCCCTCCCACACTCACCTCCCCAGAATGAACTCACTGACCTTGACAAGCTGGCCTTGAGCGTTGTAGATTTCCTCTGAGAAGGTCAACTCCATATCCTCCACATCATTGTTTTCGATGTACGAGATTTTGGTGGTGAAAAACTCGGGGTCGTCCGTGATGAAGTGCTGAAGTACACAGGGAAAGGACATTACAAAGTATACATGAAAGAATGAAAGGACATTACAAAGCATACTTGAAAGGATGAAAGGAAATTACAAAGTATACATGAAAGGATGAATAACCATTACAAAGTATATATGAAAGGGTCAAAAGACATTACAAAATATATTTTAGGATGAAAGGATATTACAAAGAAAGTATACAATACATGAAAGGAAGAAAAGACATTACAAAGTATACATGAAAGGATGAAAGGACATTATAAATAACACATAAAAGTGAAAGAACGAAAAGACATTACAAAGTACACAAAAAAGGATGAAAATACAAATAAAAAATAAAAAATTAGCTTAATTCAACACAAATTAGCACATTACCATAGAAAATTGTAAAACACAACACAATGCAGTTTACAACAACACATCATTATACAACAAAGTCAAATGCATTATTGCACAGCTCAGCTCAGCAAAAAAACAACACGACACATCAAAACATAGCATAACCCTTTCCGTACATCGTGTTTTGCTATCGTATCCATACGAAGTGGGGAACTCTGTGCCACCACTTTCAAAGAGGAAATTTACTCGTTAATCCGATCGGTACGCTTTGCATAGCAGTCTGTCAAAATGATTTTTTGAGAAATACTGAAAGCTTCAAAGAGATCTTCTTACTAGAAGTATTCTAAAATGTGAAGAGTACAGCCCCGGGGGAAAAAAAATGACTCCAGGGCGTACGGATAGGGTTAACACATTACAGCTTTATAGAAAACAACACATAAAAACACAGCTTTACACAACATGAAACATCAAAAGATTGCACAGTAAAACACATTTCACTTCAACATTACACACCAAACCACTGCACTTCACAATACAGATCAATACAACATACATACAACATATCAGTTTACATAACACAGCACTGTACAGTAAAATTCATTTAACACAATCAATCATGCAAAGCTTAGTAAAACACAATACAAAACATTACATTACGGCACAGAGGGCACTTACTTTGTACGTAACGCGTAACCCAATGAGTTGAGCGAGGAAAGATCTGGTAAACCTGGCTTTGACCAGCTGTGTCCGGCCCACAGACGACTCGTACAGACACTTGCCCACAATTTTCCCAGCAAACTCGTAATGTTTGATCTTCTTGTCTGGAGGCCTTTTGGGGTTTGGATGAACCTATGGCACATAAAGGAAAAAAAATTCTACAATTATGAAGACATTAAAATACTTGAAAGACTTACAGTTTACACTCGAAATAATATTTCCACCGTTTTAATTTAGCATTTTGGACTGTATCGTTTTGATGCTTCACACCCCCCCCTGGACACACAAACACACACACACACACACGAACACATACATACACACACACACACACACAGGGTACAGAGTGCTAAACCTTAGTCCTGACATTCCAGGAAGCAGAGTTTGAAGGAAATTGGGGTATATCAGTATAATACCTATATCTCATTATAAACTTTTCAGGACACTGAGAAAATTAAGCTGTCGATAAACAATGTTCAGGAAAATAGGAGTCAGAATCAGAGCTAAAACCATAAGCACATTCATCACTCAAATCTTCATTAAGGTGACACTAAAAAAAGCTGCACTCGTGTTAGAAGCCTAGTGGTTAGGCCCTTAGACTCGCAACCGTAAGGTTGTGGGTACCAGTCCTGTCAAGGACCCGACGTTGTGTCCTTGGGAAAGACGCTTTACACAAATTTTCCTCATTTCACCCAGGTGGGAACGGGTACTCAGCTATAGACAGTAAAAAATCTTGTCAGTTTGTTTGGATTTGAGCATTTATGTGCTCTATGGTCTGCTTCGGTAATAATACAGTGTAAAGCGCACAGAGCTTGCTGTCAAATGGGGATATGTGCTATACAAATACTAATTATCATTATTGTTATTACATTATTATTATTATTATTACAATTAAGAATCACGTAGAATCTCACCAGCCCCTGTGGGTTGTCTGTGAGTCTTGCAAAGAGCTGCGAGCAGTTGGGGTCAAACAGTTCCTTGGCCAGGACCTCGAACCACTCCCGGCTGACCCCACCCCAGTCCAGGCCCTGCTCCCCGACAAACACAATCTCAAAACGCTTGCACCAGTCGCACAAGTTGAGGTGTTTGGTCGCTCGATACGACTGTGGACAAACAAATTGAAATTGCAATAGAGACGAAGGAAGAAATAGTTTGGAAGAATAAAGACAGAGAGAAGAGGAGGGAGGGAGGGAGGGAGGGAGGGAATACTAGACAGAGGCAGGGCTGCCCACCCACTAGCATATTATGTTTAAGTAATCAACAAATAAAGATTTAGTGATCTGGCTTAAAAATTTGTAATACAGCCATGGATTAGCCTTTTCCATTGGGTGTCAAGAACAGAGGTTGTAGGTTCAAGGATAAATGTAGGAAAAGGTAGGAAAATGTGTGATGACAAAGTTCTTGGCAATCTCATCATTATGAAGTTAAGAAAAAAAAGAGGATGGGGGGGGGGGGGGGGGGGGGGGGA